ATAACCATTCCAATAATTTATATAACTTTTGCTTCCTAGGCAAACACATGAAAGACTTTTTTCCCTTGTAAGAGACTGGAAAAGGACCAACCAAGTCTGTGTTAGTTACCTTAAGTTCATTTATCTAATTAAATTTATTATTCAGATTACGTATAATAATTTCCTTTTAAGATTTCTCTTCACCTTCTATAATGTTTTCTTCAACTTGCACACATTCTCTGCAGTTTTCCTAGTTCCTTTTAGTTTTTCTTAACTCATTCAGAAATAACCAACTTTAGAACCACCTGGTTTCAGTTTTATGTTACCGAAACAAAGTAATTTCTTCCCAATTTAATTAGAATTCTTTTTTTTTTTTTTTTAAATATATCTTTATTGATTTCAGAGAGAGGAAAGGAGAGGGGGAGAGAGAGAAACATCAATGATGAGAGAGTCATTGATCAAGCCTGTAACCTGGGCATGTTCCCTGGCCGGGAATCGAACCCTGATCGCCTGGATCCCAGGTCAACGGTCAACCGCTGAGCCACGCCTGGCTGGGCTTAATTAGAATTCTTAATTCTTAGAAACCTTGACCATTTTTGTGACAAGTAATTAGCATTCCTCAGATTAGCAATACATTCATATTTTTTAAAGATGTATTTCAAATAAAATACAAGGCATATTCATTAACAGATTCAAGTCCATCCTCTAGATTCTCTGTAAAGAGACCAAAAGTAGGCAAACTCAGATTAATATTTCAGTATTTTGTCATTTTAGAATACCTATTCAGAATATACCTATTCAATAATTTTTACTATTTAACCCAGGAAAAATCCAAAGTCTTAAGTTATACATATAATTATTACTGAAAAGCCTTATTTAAAACCCTTCATTTTAGTTAATATATTTACTGTGTCTTAACAACTTTATGAGACTTTAGAGCCAATTATTATTTCCCAAGGCAAATTTTCTTGGCAGATTTTCACAACTCCCAGGCTTCAGTCAGCCTTATTGTGAAAGTCCCTTTTTCCTTTTTTCTCCTTTTCTTTCTTTACAGAGTAGGGGGACTGGATAGGACACTCTGCTGGTTTTTGCCCTAGGATATTTCTGCAGCTCCTGCCCTTCTGGGAGAATATCTTGGGTTTAAAAGATTTATTTGCCATATTTTTCTTAACAGAATGTAACAGCATAATATCTTGCACATAAAAAGAAATCTTACCCTATTTCAAAACAACCTCTAAAGTAAATAAATTACTCTCAAAAGGAGGGACATTAGCCTTAGAACCTTTATCTTACACTGAGTACAGCGAATGACCTTTGTTTGGTCTGAGTCGCACAAATGCAAAATATCAGAGGATTCCCTGTGTTCATAAAACATTGAAGAGTAAACTAAGTCTCCAAAAGACAAAAAAGAATCTGTGACCACATTGCAGACAGACAAAACTCTCACTGCATTTAAGGCAGCTGATACCTTGAGAGGTAGAGCAGGAAGGTTCCCCAAGTAAAAAAAAAACTCAGCAGCTGCTGGGAAGTTTGTGCAATTGCAGCCACCCACTCACCCAAGGGCTTCAGCTTGCCATAAGCAGCTGGGGCCTCCAGCGAAATGGGATATGCCCCCATCTTTAAACAAATTAAACCAAACAACAAGGAAACAAAACGACAAGAGACTTTTTTAAGCACAGTATTCACAGGAGTACACAACCTGTTTCTTGTCTGTCTAACCGCAGGAACCTCAGAATACCCTGTACCAAAGCAGAGCACAGTCTCATCCCAGAGTGGATCAGACTAAAGGCTCAGAGACCAGGCAAGGACCACTGGAGATCTCCTGCCTCTTGGACCTGATCCAGATGTGCCAGACAATAGGCAAGGGGCAGTAATGCCCCTTGTGTCCTACAAAAAATGCTTAATTCAACATAGGTCATAGGAGAGAGAATGGGGATTGTTGGGGTTGCAGCCAGAACTCAAAACGAAAATTCCTGGTAGTGCTGTGAATAGAAAGTCCAAGCCTCAGCTACAGGAGCTCCCAGCCCAGGCAGCAAGCTGTACCCTGGAGGATTCCCCCACTCATGTTCCTTCATGGTTCACCAGACATCTGAAGAGCAAGTTGAGTGGAGGACAAAGGAGTTATATACTCTCCTCTCTATAGGTCTCAAAATCTCTCTGCTGAATATTTTAGTACAGATTAACTCAAGGCCCCTTTTTACTTTGTTGTGGCCTCAGAACTCATGAGAATCACTTTATCTTGCCAAGTCTTGAGACTGCTGGCTTCTCTGCTTGCTTGATGGGGGGCTGGGGGAGTTGTCCAACCCTCAGGCAAAATTATTTGGTCTGGCTCTGCCAAGGCAACTTCTGGCCAGAGTTGAAATTCAATAAATCTAGAGGTTTTTCATAGCTAATTTTTAAGGTGATAATTTTGTATGGCCTGCGAATGATGTTATAAATATCCAAATGGCCCTTGGCAGAAAAAAGATTCCCCACCCCTG